AAGTTAAAAAAAACCCAACAACCTCTACATGAACTTGGTATAATACAAAATTGAAAACCATGAAACGGTGTGCTATGGAATGAAATAAGGATAACATATATCTGCTGAGGATGAATGAAATGTTGGCTTTCCTTTATATATGATAAGTGTGCATACTTGTATCATGGCCTCTCCATCACAAACTTGTTCAACTGTTAACCAATTTTTATGGAATATAATCATATAAAACCTTATTTCTGTACAAAATTTACATTATATCAACAGCATACCTCTATTTACACTGAATTTCTTGCGATTGATCACACATGCACCAACAATAGATGCTTTGTTCAATGACTTCTGTTCAATGTTTAAAGCTTTATAAGCATTTTAAAAAGTTTTTTACCACGATGATTAGATGACTAAAAAATTTTAAGTGAAAACTACACCTCCAACATGGACTTTAAGTTACGAGGAAAATTAAGGATTAAGAAAAAAATTTTACTTTCTAAACATGGTTAAATGCCCTCGAATTGTTTTTACCACCACCACCACCCCCCCCCCCCCAAAAAAAAATTATAGAAAAAAAAATTAAACTGAAAACAAAAAATATCTTTCTTATCCAATGGGTAATTTACAAATTATCATACCTTTAAAATCTAGCTACTTTCATTTTTGCAATCTATGTAGATATACATGTAATTGAAGTTACCTTCGGAAAATATTAAATGTACACATCATAAATTATTAAATTTCTGCACATTAATTTTCTTAATAATATCGAAGTATCACATAAAAAATATTTTACCAAAAATATATTTCCTAATTTGTCAAAACATAAAAAACAACAGTAACATGATACCGGTATGATATAATTTAACACTGCACTTCTACAATCAGCTGACGTTGAAATCCTGATTTTCTTCACTATACGGAATCCCAATCATTAATAAAATCACAGTCTCTCGCAGTACACCCGTACTAAAAAATTTTCCTCTGATAAAAAATGAAATCATTTGTAAAATTCTATTTACTTTCACTTTCATTTTCCGTTATGAAGTTGAGATTCAATATTCCTAAGTGTTTTTGATGCTTTGGTTTCTCCTTGGGGGTATTCTCACCAGCATCTTGAGCGAAAAATTTCATTTCATCTCTGAAGGACATCCGATCAGAAGCAGGTTTTTTGGAAAAGGCATTTCCACTCTGAGCCTCCTTCTGGGCCATGATCCTACTCCTAGGATCACGATACACTTCCTGTGATCCTACAACCGTAGGAGTTATTTCTGCTGTTTTGTAGGATACATGATTTTGCTGTGGGGTGCCACTTGAATCAAAAACATTGTCCTGGGGGGCATGATCGGGGGTGGGTGGCTGACCGTATGGAGAATGGGGTTCGTTCTGATCAGATGTGGTTGACCGATATGAGGACTGGGATGCATAAGGAGTCCTATCACTCTCACTGCCTACACTGTATGTGTTACGGGTCTCTAATTGTGTGATAAATGACACTGATTTCTTAGGAACAGTTTCTGGCACATATCTCATGTTAGAATTGTTATTGTTCATGTTACGGAAGCCGTTTTGTATTTCTGGGTTCCTCTCGTTTTGTCTGTTCATGTTGTGGACGTCGTAAGAGGAGCCCCTGACGGGGGGAGCAGGTGCCCCGTATTGGGAGTGGGCCGTTATGTTGGCGTACTGTTGGTTATAACCCTGGGGCTGACTTTGTAGTCTGAGTGCCTCCAGACGCTGTGTCTCCTCTCTCACGCGGAGTTCCTGGTCACGCTTCTCTTGCTCGCGTCTCTCGCGCATTTCTTTTTCCCGTCGCTGATGTTCCTCCTGCCTCTTGTTGATATTTCATTAAGGATTGAACAAAGTGATTAAGTTACTATAGTATAGCAAAAAATATGTTTGTTAAAGAATTCCATTGATCTTGCTGTAACTTGTATTATACCATACAATTTCAAACGGAAGTACTCAGTACCTCAAAAATTCGGTTATTACTTTCAACTTCAATACTAGGGCCTAGTATGATATAAAAAATTAGTATACCTAACTTAGTTTACTAAAAAAAAGAACAAAAGGTAAGGAGTTTAAATTTTATTCCTTTATTAACCCTTCTCCAAATTTTAAATACTTAAGATTGTGAGATATCAGTTTGTTTCTATTTCAGAGATCATAAAGCATGGTAGTAATATATGATAAAATTACTTTTATTTATGTCGTCGGTACTTACGGTCAGCATCTGAAGTGAATTTTAAAATCACATTCCTTTCTTTTATTAAAAATTACGATTTAATAATGCTTTGACAATAATAGCATTTGAAATGTTTCCGTGTTGTTACTAGTATTTAATGGTTCTGTCTTTTAGTGAAATGCTGATTAGTCCACTATCTCTGCTTGTCTCATTTTTCTAACGTAATTGAACTAACTCTACAGTACTTATAGTTAAATATCACCTTCTTGTACTTTTATTGTAAATTTGTATGTTGACCCCTTTCTTTTCAGAACATCGATTCTAGTTATTGACAATTCAAACTTGGTATATATCAAAACTTTTCACATCAGAGTTATGATCACTTAAAGTTGGCTTCCTTTTAAAATACGATGAAATTGCTTGTCACAGAGCCCTGTAGAATTCAGGGGCCCGTCCTACAAAAGAACAAACCACTAACACCAATAACTTAAGAGGATTGTAAAATTTTGCAAAATGAATGATTCTGTTTAAAATTGCTGGTGTAAAAACATCTCACTACACTCTTTCTTAGCGATATAAATCGTTTTCAATATAAATATGCAGAATTAAGGTTTGGATTTAGTCTTCTATTTTTGGAAAAAACGGGCCCCTGACCTGTATACCCTCACTAGCAACCTTGTCAATGCTGCCTTTGTACAAAGGTCCAAATTCTCGGAGACTCTAAATACTTTCAAGTCTACCTTAAGGTAGTCCGATCCTCAGGTTTATAAAATTAGCAGTTAAGTAATCAAAAGTACTCATAAAAGTATCTCTGAATCCACAAAGTTATTTAAATTTATCCACAGGATTTCTTAAAAGTTAAAAATTAAAGTTAATCATATTATTTAGGGAAAAATGCCAAATCTCCAATGTTTTTGCAGAAAAAAAAGAATTGAAATATCAGCAATGCATTTTCTAATTGAAAATTGATCAACTAAATATTTTAGGTTTAAAAAACGATAGGTATCCAGGCATTCAGAGAAATTGCCATGATTTTTATACTTATTTGGTATTTTTTGTCTTCTATTTCTGTCATATATTCTATAATACATAGTGTAAAAGGCTTTTGCTATCATTGCAAGACACCACAAATCACTCTTTAAATCATATTATGCTAATAAGCATTAGTATCTAAGGCTGGATTCAAGAAAATCTTGTTTCTCTAAAATTGTATTAATTTTTTCCCTTTTATAGGGTATAAAAGTCAACTTTTACAAGACCTTCTCCAAGACTTCCAAAAACCTTGAATTTTATAAAGATGAATAAAATGAAAATTGTTGCATGAAAAATTTCACTTTCAAGCTTCATTTTGATGCATTTTAAATAATATATAAATATTTGGAGTTATCCTTCCTGGCTGATGATCGGATATCCTTAAAGAATGTGATATTTGTCATCATTAAAATGAACCAAAATTTACTCCTTTTCATATACAGTAAAACACATTTAGTAAAAATATTTTAACGCTTTGTAGGTAGACAACAGGAAATCTTTATATCCCTGTTATGTCTGCTAAAAAAAGAACAAGATTGTGTCAATATACAAATTTATTGCTTTGCATCAGATACATGTGTATGCAAGTTAGCAGCTATATCACCATGGTAACACATGAAACATTTCCTGACTAGATGTGACAAATAATGGGTAAAAGCCGAAAAGTCACCCATTTTTAATTTAGTTCCCTTTCTTTTCTTTAATAAGTTTAAATTTTCAACATAAAAATGCCTTCCTTTGTTTGTGTAGTGCTGAAATATTTTATTTTATTATTTCCTCTTTAATCTGGCGTGCAAATGTTAAGTAGAAACAAAATGGAATGTCAGTGTTCATTAAAATGGAATGATAACAATGGAAATACAGAGAAAAAAAATTGTCAACAGGAAAGCAGGTGTAAAATTAACAAAAGCCTGGGCAGGATTCAAACCATGCCCAGCCCTGGCCTAGCGGTCAATTTGTCACAACACAAAGATTCTCTCTCTATCTGAATTAAAAATAAGGAATCTATACTGGAAATAATCACAACCATTCAACTTATCACGGAATCTTGTAGTAAATTATAAAACATGTCAAAATATCTCTACAGCATCAGATGTCTTACACCATAAAATGACCTCTAGCATAGAGAGATAAAAATACAGGAATATTGGTATATATATAAATATTACTAATATCAACAGTTAGAATTGGTAAAAATCTTAATAAGTTCAAGTTAAAAAAAATCAACAACCTCTACATTAATTTTGTATAATATAAAAATGAAAACCATGAAACTGTTTGCTATGGAATGGAATAATGATTACATATAGCTGGTGTCAATGAACGAATGTTGGCTTTCCTGTATATAATGAACAATGAGTGTGCATACTTGTATCATGGTTTCTCCATCATAAACTTGTTCAACTGCTAACCTATTTTTTATGGAATATATAATCATATAAAACCTTATTTCTGTACAAAATTTACATTTTATCAACAGCATGTCTCTATTTACACTGAATTTCTTGCGATTGATCACCCATGCACCAACAATAGATGCTTTGTTCAATGACTCCTGTTCAATGTTTTCAGCTTTATAAGCACTTTAAAATGTTTTTACCTCGATGATTAGATGACTAAAAAATTTTGAGTGAAATCTAAACCTCCAACATGGACTTAAAGTTATAATGAAAATTAAGGATTAAGAAAATTTTTACTTTCTAAACATGGTTAAATGCCCTCTAATTGTTTTTACCACCACCCCCCAACAAAAAAAAATTATAGAAAAAAAACTAAACTGAATTAAAAAAAATCTTTCTTATGCAATGGCTAATTTACAAATTATCATACCTTTAAAATCTAGCTACTTTCATTTTTGCAATCTATGTAGATATACATGTAATTGAAGTTACCTGCGGAAAATATTAAATGTACACATTATAAAATTATTAAATTTCTGCACATTAATTTTCTTAGTAATATCGAAGTATCACATAAAAAATAATTTAGCAAAAATATACTTCCTAATTTGTCAAAACATAAAAAATAACAGTAACATGATACCGGTATGATATAATTTAACACTGCACTTCAACGGTCTGCTGACGATGAAATCCTGATTTTCTTCACTCTATGGAATCCCAATCAATAATTAAAATCATGGTCTCCCCTAAGTACACCCGTACTCAACAACTTTTCTCTGATAAATACATGAAATCATTTGTAAAATTCTATTTACTATCACTTTCATTTTCCGTTATGAAGTTGAGATTCAATATTCCTAAGTGTTTTTGATGCTTTGGGTTTCTCCTTGGGGGTATTCTCACCAGCTTCTTGAGCGAAAAATTTCATTTTATCTCTGAAGGACATCCGATCAGAAGCGGGTTTCTTAGAGAAAGCATTACCACTCTGGGCCTCCTTCTGGGCCATAATCCTGCTCCTAGGATCACGATACACTTCCTGTGATCCTACAACCGTAGGAGTTATTTCTGCTGTTTTGTAGGATACATGATTTTGCTGTGGGGTGCCACTTGAATCAAAAACATTGTCCTGGGGGGCATGATCGGGGGTGGGTGGCTGACCGTATGGAGAATGGGGTTCGTTCTGATCAGATGTGGATGACCGATATGAGGACTGGGATGCATAAGGAGTCCTATCACTCTCACTGCCTACACTGTATGTGTTACGGGTCTCTAATTGTGTGTTAAATGACACTGATTTCTTAGGAACAGTTTCTGGCACATATCTCATATTAGAATTGTTATTGTTCATGTTACGGAAGCCGTTTTGTATTTCTGGGTTCCTCTCGTTCTGTCTGTTCATGTTGTGGACGTCGTAAGAAGAGCCCCTGACGGGGGGAGCAGGTGCCCCGTACTGGGAGTGGGCCGGTAGGTTGGCGTACTGTTGGTTATAACCCTGAGGCTGACTTTGTAGTCTGAGTGCCTCCAGACGCTGTGTCTCCTCTCTCACGCGGAGTTCCTGGTCCCGCTTTTCTTGCTCACGTCTCTCACGCTCCCGCATTTCTATTTCCCGTCGCTGATGTTCTTCCTGTCTTTGTCGTGCCTCCGCTCGGAGCCGTGCTTCTTCCTGTTCTCGCTGGGCCTCCAGCTCTCGTAATCTTTCTCTTTCCTGAAATAAAAAAAAAAATCTTTTAAGGACCCTCATCAAAAACTCCAGATTCTGAATGTGTACAGTATTTCTTCAGTACATATTGACTTCTATTAATACATTTTAGTTTTCACTGCATTACTAGGATTCTCATACAGAAACAAGAGATGTTCATAAAACACTTATGCCCCTTCCCCCCCCCCCAAATTAGAATTGTTCCAACTCCAAATAGGCATAACTCTGTCAAATATGGCGATCATACCCAAAACAGAACTTGACCTAAATATCTATCTGATTAATCTGTATACTAAATTTCATTTCAGGATAGGCGACTTCTCTCTCTGAAGAAAATAAAGGAAAATAAAGAAACTCGACAAAATAGGATGTAAACAATAAGCAAATTGCATGGATTGCATTCGAATGGGAATAACTAATCTTCTAATGTGGTATTTAAGATCGTTAAAGCTGATTTCAGTCGCAAATACCAAATTAAAAGATACTCTGAACATCTATTTTCATTTCTGTGTTTCATTTCATTTCAGAGTAACTCCTCACCATTTCTTTCCGTCTTTGTTCCTCCTCTTGTTTTTTCTTCTTTAATTTCTCCTCCTCCATCAACATCACCCTCTTTTGCTCCTCGTAATCTTGCCTCTGCTTCTCTCGGATATCCTGGAACAATATAAACACAGTACATAAATGATGAAGCCATCATAAATGGTCACTTTTCATATATTTATACACTATGTCATAATCAATTTTTTGCATCTTCCATATAATAGGTATTTTTTTTATCATGATCAATTAATATCATTATGATCATAGTTTCTGTATATTCTATCTACACCTTTAACTCTGGTATTTCTCCTGTTCACGTTATATTCGTTCCTGCCTCTATATATGATTATTTTTATCCTGCAACTACCCCTTGCATTGCCCTAATATAGCCTTGTGCATGTGTTCCGACATTCTAAAAGCATTGTGACGTCATGTATATTGCAATATTTATGCCGTGGCGTCATAGTTTTCACGGCAGAGATGTGCCTAAATCTGTCGAAAATAGCTAGTTTTTGACGTTCAAATGTAAAAAATATGTTGCAGGATAAACAAAATTCCATGATAACTGTCTTGAAATATAAGTCGAAAGCGTAAGAGAGCTCAGCAAGCCTCGCCCTTTATCACATTTACTTACCCTCGCCCAAATATTGCTTATATTTCAAGACAGTAACCAAATTATATATATATTCTATTTACACCTACCCTCTGTTTACGCTGGTATTCTTCCTGTTCACGTAATTTTCGTTCCTGCCTTTTTTGCAGTCTTTGTTGTCTCTCCTCTCTCTCCAACTCAAAAATTTCCAGCTTTCTCTCCAGCCTGTGAAACATACGTCGTAACATATCATCAGCTGATTAACTTATTCATCATAAAAGAGATCAAATCTTTTCATGCAAGGCAATAAAATCATTTTTTTGTTGATCAACATACTATAGAAGGACTTATCTTACAAGGAATTGTGTAAAATCAATTAATGCCTGACTATATCTCTATTTGCTTGTGTTGCTGAAAACAAAGTCAGTGCAATACAAGAGGCCCACGGGCCTTATAGGTCACCTGAGTTTCATGTAACAACTTTCCAGCGATTGTATTTGGTTCGTGTTTTAATCCAAAAGCCATGAAATTCACAAATTTTGAAAGAGGCACCATTGCTTATCAAAGGGCAGATTTCAAAGCATTTATTTATTTTTAGTCAAAGTACCCCCCTGGTACCCCTGACCCAGCAGCCCTGAAATTATCTATTTTAAAAGAGGCCCCTTTCTTCATTATAAGGCCAGCATTTTTTTTAATGTTTAGGTTTAGTTCTGAACATGAGAATAAAAAAGTCCCAAAGGAGAAAGAAATAAAAATTTTTTTTGATAAATCAATTATTAACATTTGTACATTCTTTTTTTATGCTATCCTAATAGGCTCCTTACCACTGGACACATAATGCTTACAAATAGGAAAGTAGAACATTTAATTGCTTATTTCATCATCTGCCAGTTTGGGCCAGTTATATAAATTTTGTGATGTTGATCAAAATATATTTCAAAAAATCAATTCTTTAGAAGTCTTTCAATATATCTTCATTTCTTTAATATGTGTTAGGTGAATGTGTAGACATTGTTCTAAAATTTACTTGATCTCTAAAATTATAATTCCTATCATAAAACAGACAGGGAGTATTGGGGAGTAGGGTGAACATTTTTTCAATTAAGTGTAAAATAATTTTTCTGGCTGATACAAATGATACTACATGCCTGTACATATTTGTATATTCTTGCCTTTTAATAGTTGAATTTTTTTTTTTATTTCTTCAGGTTATTGTTTATTTCTTCCTCAAATGGACTTAACTTCTCCCATAGTTTTATTCATTATATTCATTACATCTGATGCATAAGCAACCCTTTTCTGAAGAATGATGCTTAGACTGTAAGCTATAACAGAGACCTAAACAATGTCGCTGGCAATATGCAATAGCTACCACGGGCAGTTTAAAACCTGGGGGAGGAAAATAATTTACAGACAGTTACTTTTGAAACGAATACATAATTATCTCACCAGCATGATATTGTGCAACAAAGTCGTCAGCATTTTATTTGTCCTTCGAACGGGTGAAACGTTTTGAATGGCACTCTTATTGATGAATTTTACACTAAACCAAGCTATCTTCTCAGCTTTATTTACCCGCCGTTTCATCGTAAAACCGGAAGTGCGAGTTCGTAAATTTGAAATCTCGATCCCGACTCAAATTTGACATCGGAAAGAAAAATTTTTAAATTTTTTTCTGAAAATTCAAAACCTTGCGCGGAGGGTTTGTAAAACTGAAAATAAAATAAATCCTGGCCTTAAATATGTAATTAGATCATTAGCATATTAACCAGGAGCAAAGGATAAGATGTTCAAAGAAATCATGCATTTCACTATATAATCATTAGAGCCCCACCCTAAAACAAGAACCCCTGACCCTGGGGCCATAAAATTCACAATTTTGGTAGAGGCACTCTTGCTCGTCATAACTATGTACTTAGTGAGTTCATTTAATACCCAGGAGCAGAGAAGAAGATTTTCAAAGAATTCATGTATTTTCACTAGTATATAATCAATAGAGCCCCACCCTAACACCAGAACCCCTGACTCTTGGGCAATAAAATTCAAAATTTTAAAAGAGACACTCTTGCTCATCATAACTGTGTTCTAAGTTTGCTTATATAATACCCAGGAGAAGATTTTCAAAGAAATAATGCATTTTCACTACCTACTTATTTAGCCCCGCCCTAGCACTGGAACCCCTGACCCCAGGGCCATGAATTTCACAATTTTGGTAGAGGACTCATTGCTGGTTACAATCATGCAAACAGTTTGACTACTTGATGTCCAGGAGTAAAGAAGAAGATTTTTAAAGATTGCATTAATTTTAGTGGTTTTGGCCCCACCCCTCAGGCCCCAGGGGGGCAGGGATCATGAAATTCACAATTTTTGTTCCCCTTCACCAATAGATGCTTTGTGCCAAATTTGGTTGAAATTAGTTCAGTGGTTGCAGAGAAGAAGTTGAAAATGTTCAAATGTTAACGGACAACGCACAACGCACGACGCACAACGCACGGCGACGGACGAAAACAGATAGCAATAGGTCACCTGAGTTTACTCAGGTGACCTAATGAAAGCATGAAACCCGTGTTGCTGATATACTGACACAGTGGAGTCAAATAAAGCACCTGTCATACTGAGACAGCCTAAACCTTCGCAAACCCCTCCTCACTGTATAACTGACTGTTAAACTGTAACACTCTACTTACTCCACAAACATGGTTTTAGCTTCCTGGTGACTTCAAAAACATTATAATGTTGAGTTAATGTTTTCAAATGTAAGGATTCCTATTCAAATTGACTGTAGCTTTAAGTTAAAAGTATTCAGAGACAGATGTGTGGTCAATTACAATAAAAGTAATTGATTATAATTACTTTAAGATTAAATTTCTGATTTGCTCATTTTTTGCATAATAATTAAATACATTACAGTCATTACTCTCAAAATTTAATTTTTATTGCTTAGATTACTTTAAAAAGGTTTCAGCACGAAATGGTTTATCAAGTATGTTTAAAAACATTTAATTGTCAATATTAACATTAATCATTTTCCAAATACTTTTCTTTAAGATTCTTTGCAATTAAGAAGACTGTTCATTTCTCATGAGCTACCATGGGTGATCATGATAATCTCAATTGTTACGTCATAATACCTCACGTTGATGTCAAATCTATAGTGTAAATTGTTTCACTTTAAAAATGTCAGTTGAATGGCATAAATTTTGTGTCAACTCATCAGAAAAATAATGTAAATTTTAATACACATGTGTAAGGAATGAATTAAATTTTTGAAGATTCATGAAGTATATGAACTATGACGCTTCACGCCGGGATATTTCATGAAGCGCTGTTAGTGCTTCATGAAATATGCCCGCATATATATCCTACATATATGAATCTTCAAAAATTTAATTCATTTCTTAATTAAATTGAATCCCTGGCAACACTTTCTTTCGGGGTGTGGGTGGGCTGGGGGGATGGGAGGAATATACATTCTCTGCTTTTAATTCTAAATTAAATGTTTACAAAGCTGGTCACTATTTACCTCTGCATACGGTCTTTTTCCCTCTCATACTCCTCGTACAGCTGTTTCTGATTGAGTTCCTCCAGTTTCCTCTGAGCCTTCCCAATGTCCTCCTGTATCGTCTGGATCAGGAACTCACGACCCTAAACATCACAGCTCACATTGTCACAGTGTCAAATAGTTCAATATTTATCATTTAATTATTTTTTCCACATAAAGCAGGCTTTTGCTGAGTAATGAATCTATTTCAGTCTGATTAACAATATATAAAATGATTACAGTTGTTGTTATGGTGCTTTTTCTCAATTAGTCACAGTGAATGTGAAGTTATACCATTACAGGTAATTACATTGATCTGAGATGTGAGAGATCATAATACAGTAATCAGTCAGTGCTTTATTAGAACAGGATAGAAATAGGTGTGATACTTGCGTGAGATAATTATCTGATGTTAACAGCAGAAGTAGAGAGTTAATTGGTGCACACTTACTACCTGCGTGCGGCTTGTTATCTCATTGTCAGAGTCTTCGTCGTCCTCGTCTCGGTTGGCACACTCCTGAACGCGACGCTGGAATTCCTGCTCCAGACGTAACTTCCTCAGTCTGTCTTGTTCCTGGGGTGACAGATACGGCCGAGACTCCAGGTCAATTATTTCCTGTTCACGTAACCTACTCATCTCCTCCTCTCGGGCTTTGTTCAGTTTCTCCTGCTCTTCGCGATCCCACGGTGACACCAGAGGGCCTCCATCTTTTTGTGACCTCTGTGTGACCTCGGTGACCTCTGACATTAACCTGTGTTTTGATAACTGGGGATCCATCTTCATTGGAGGTAATGACCTTGCTTTAGGATCGTAGGATTCATACAAATTTTGATTGGCTGGTTGTTGTAATGAAGAGTCAAATGTTCTGTTCTGTTTCTCATATAAAATGTTTTGATAATCATTACTAGGTTGCTGGAATCTGTTGGGCAGGGTAGCTGAGTGGGGAGGTTGTTGCATAAACTGTTGCTGGGGTTCTACATACCCCATGTTCCTTTGCTGCTGGGGTTGCACTCTCTGTTTTGGTTGGTTGAATCGGCCTTGTTGTTGGAAGCCACCTGGAGGTCCAAATCTTGGGTCAGTTGAGTTTGCATATTGGGGATCTAGAGAATATTCCCCGGCTGGAGGAGGGGGAAGGGGAGGCAACTCCTCTGGTAAATCTTCAGGAGCTGGGGGAGGTGGAAGCTCTGGGGGTATCTCCTGGGGAGGGGGAGGTAACTCCGGGCTCTGATGTGTCTGTGGGGGGTACTGATTATCTCTGGGAGGAGTGAATTTGCCCCGGGGCAGACTGTTTGCCCTTGGATCACTCTGGTAGCCAGCACTATGTGGAGGCATTCCTCTTCCCTGTATGAAGCCTGGCTGGGAAGAGGGGACTTTGGGGGACCTTTGTTCTGGTTGTTGTTGGATTTTGGGCTCAAAGAAATGTGACTGGGTTTGTCTGTTATCCACCTCTACTCTGGGAATGTTTGCAGGGGTGACTTTTGGAGCATTTGGTTTGGGAGCCACAGAAGGTTTTGGCATTGTTTGTGGAGGGGGCCTCTTAACGTCTGTTTCTGCTGGTTTTAGCTGGTGGAATGCAGGTGAGGGTTCATTCTGCCTTGGAGAGGTATTCTCATAGAAGTTCAGTTGCCTGGATTCATTGCTGGCTGTGTATCTGGGAATGTCACTTTGGTTGACGTATCCACTCTGCATTTGTTGTTGTTGCTGCTGCTGTGCTCTCATGTTCATATAGTTAGGATCTCTTTCGTTATCAAAGCTCCTCTCATGAGGTGACTGATGTGGAGAATGTTGAGGCTGTCCATACCTTTGGTGCATCTCCTGCATCTTTCCAACATTGACCTCCATTGATTTAGGTCGCTCCTCCCGCACAAAGTCTGGCTGGTGTTGATGAGGGTAGTAGGCAGACTGCGGCCTCTCGTCACGACTGCTGGCCCCGGAATGTCGGGATGATGGTGAACCCTGCTCTACAGTCTCTCGTAACTGAGGTTTCACAAAATGTCCAGGAGGAACATTATGGTTCACGTCAGTATATCCAAGATTGCGCATTGGATCTTGCAGGTTTCTAGGAATTCTGGGATCCACACTGGGGTGATTCTCGTAATCGTTTCCCCGGGGATCATTACGTCCCTGATTATAATAGTCCTGGAACGGAACATTGGGATTCTGTAGCGCCCCAACGGATGCTGCTGGTCTCATGTTGTGTTGATGATGTTGTGGGTCTCGATGATCAAATGAGTTGTCCATGTGGAGGTTGGCCATGGATTTGGACTTCGTCTCGTGGTCTCTGGGATCCCTGTGGTGAGGGGGGCGGTGAGGGGAGTGCTGGGGCTGGTCGCGGAGTTGTCTTCCTCCCGGCATCATAGATTCACCTAAAACAAATACAGTACCACATGTTAACACTTAGTAAGTACAGCAAAATCAAACTCATTCTGAGAAGCATTATTTATCAATTCTAAATATTTTTAAAAATCTTTGTCTATTTCTTTAATTTTTTTTTTTATTTTGAAGTTAAAATATGCTTGCAATATATGCTGTGAACAGCACTATCTATTACAACACAGACAGTTCCTTTAATACCCGTTCCTAATAATTTCAGCTGTGGAGAGTGAACTTACGACCACCTCTGCCAAGTAGAACTTGATTCTTTCTGGGCAGTGAACCATGTCCTGACATTAACATGGTTGAGTTGGCGGAGGAACTCAGAGAACTTCTATCCCACGAGTCCCTCATGGTGCTGTTCAGCGTGTGTGGACTCACTGGTGAGAATACTGGGTAAGGAGAGTTCAAAGGCTCACCCGAGTCATAATTTGAGTTTTTAGATTCTCTGGAATCACTGATACCGCTGTCTGAGTTTGTATTTTTCATAGAGGCTTTAAACATATTGTACGACACCACTGGTGACAAGACACCGTAACTGTGCAGTGAGTCACTTCCTCTGGCGGAATCGTAACTCTCCCCGAGATAAAAGTCACCTCGGGACGGGATGTGAAGGTCACTGGACCTACTCCTCTGGTGGTGCACCACTCTCTGTGGAGGCTGCCTCCAGTTCAGGGGCTGAGACGTTTGTCTCCCATGACTCTGAGACACCTGCTGGGAATGACCTTGAGAGGACGGCTGTGGGTGACCTTGATAGGACTGCTGTAGGTGACCTTGAGAGGTTTGTTTGTATGGACTAGAAGGACGAGTGTAGTCCATGTGTGAAGCTGAATGACTTCTGACATGTTGAGGGACTAGCTTTGTAGGACCCTGGGGATTATAAGGGGGTGGGGTAACAGCCTTGCTGTACACTGTATAGGAGACAGGATTATAATTCTGTTCACGGTCCACTGAACCTACAGACTGGCTTCTCTGAAGACCATTGTTTTTCATTCTGTTACTGTGCCTCGCTTTCAGATTTTGGAATGAACTACGAGAATTGGACTTGTCAACAGGGGCACTATTCATAGTTTGTTGTGTCTGATAGGTTTGTCCTGTTGATAGAGATTGGGGATTGTTTACAGAGTATGGCTGTTGTACATAGTGTTGGGGAGTGTTTCCTGAATACTGCCTATTGTCATAATGTGCAGGGAAGTTTTCTGAATACTGCCTGCTGTTGTGGTGTGGGGACACATTCTGCTGAGTGTACACACGTCTGGGTCTCTGCATCTCACCAACAGATTTACTGCGGGGTCTGTGACCCTCCTGTCCTTGAGATCGGTATTGTTTGAGATCAGCTTGTAATTCTCGTAAGTCCACCACACTTTTCCTCTTGTGATGGTTTCTCCTCTGCTGGGGTTTAACACTGGACTGAGATGCTGGTCTGGGGGCTATTTTATCCACGATTCCAATGTTAACCCTGGCCTCCTCCTCCAAGTCTGAGGCACTCTTGCTGCGGGGGTTTTGGTAAGAGAATGCCCCTGGAGCTGACTCTGGGTCAGGCTTCCTGTTTCCTATCACAGCATGTAAATCTGCCTCCAGGATGATGCGCCACAGTGCATCCTTACGGCCGTATATCATCTCCATCTCTTTACTGGAGATTCCAGATCTATATTCTGGTTAAAATGCAATACATTCAAGTTTTATACAAGAACACAGCTTGCATGTAATATCCCTAACAAATATTAGGAATCTGAGAGGAAATGAACATTTCACAGAGGCATTCTGTAAAATATAAACCTTATTTTTTATCTCAAGACACAGTACATTGAGCAAAGTATTCTAAATGTTTTTTAGCAGCATGCCTCTACAACAAATCTTCATTTCTTCTCATCTTCAAACTCTGCTTTGGCCCTAACAATCCTAACATCCTTGACCCTTTTCCTCCTAACCTTTGCCCTTTGACCCCATTTTCCCTGACACTTACTATTAAGAGCTGGGGATGATCGATTATGGGGGCTCTGCATGGACTGTTTTTGTCGAGGGTCCATCCCGTGCTGGGCCGGTCGCCCCCGGTCCATGTCTGGGGCCGCGTTATATGGGGGTGGCCCCTCCTCTTGTGGGCGGTGCTTGTTACTTTGCGGACTTGATGGTTTCTTTGGTGATGCTGAAAATCACAGGGTAAATAAAGTTAAATGCAACATATTTGTACATGTGAATCATGCTATCATATTGTTTGCAAAACATACATATTAAGAAATTTGTCCACAAGAAATCTGGTGTAAAGTGAAACAACCTAGGCCTCTGGTTATGACCAAAAGAGGAATATAAGATATTTCTCTGGGTTTCAATTACTTTGACCTCTCTAGGTATAACTTATTTACGTCAACCTCACTAGGTATAACTTATTTACGTCAACCTCACTAGGTATAACTTATTTACGTCAACCTCACTAGGTATAACTTATTTACGTCAACCTCACTAGGTATAACTTACAGTTTTATGTTGACCTCTCTAGGTAAAACTTATTTACGTTTACCTCTTTTGGTATTATTTTTGACTCACCTCTTGGCATCACAGGTGAGGGCTGGCTAAGCAGGGTGGCCAGGCCATGGTAGAATGCTCCTTGTTTGACGACCTTTAATGTCACTGTCTGACCAGTCCTGGTCATCAACTCTGCAGCCCTGTAACAACACAATGTACTGGTCAGTAAAACGGAATACACCAAAACAGAACAAAATAATGGTCAATAGATTTATAGAACAGTGGTATTACAATTAAGTGACAGGAAGCCCTGATTCTTCCGAGTACTTAAAGTTCTGAGAGTAAATGTTTATGGACAACTAAAATTTTCCTGTATTGTTCATGCATGGAGACATTATTTTGTGGGTGACTTGTATACAATGAACACTCAATGAACCAACTGATTCCTGACTCGGTTATCATTTGTGGGAATGATGTAAATTTGTAGGAATGGACGACCAACACTGGTCCCCTAGAATCAGAATTTCACAGCATCCTTTTGGAGCCTTACAATTTTTACCCTCTTTAAATTAAGATGAGTTTTTTTTTGTGTGTGGAATACTTTTACATTATTAGGTCTATTTTTAGCAATACACGAAATGAACTCACTTGTCCTGAGACAGGCCAACAAGTCCTTTGCCATCTACCTCCAATAACTGGTCCCCTGCCTGTAGTCGCCCATCCTGAAATTAACAACAAGATATGATTTAAACTCTTGATCATCAAAACAATGTTATCATTAATTTTGTCTTAATTTTTTTTTTTTTTTACATTTTATCGTTATTTGTCTGCAGAACAAACTAAAAAGTACTTTATTTAATGAAGGCACTGGATTACATAACATCCCAAACCTATAACCTATAACTATAATTAAATATGCATTTAAGGCACAAAGCCCTACTTTCTCTTCATATTGATCATGTTGATTATTGAAACAATTTTTTTATTTCCTTTACTCTATCACAAATTTGGGAATGCACATACTCAAAAATTTAATTGAAGTATAATTGAGAAATGCTTCATCTCAATGAGCATACAAAAGACACAGTGAAACATGACATAAGATTGTACTCTATTGAATCAAGTGAGGCATTTAAACCTGACTGCAGAATTATGCAGCGTACTTGGACTACTGAACACCAGGTATTTCAATAACAGGTTAGCTTTACTTTGAAGTCTATCTTAACACAAATAGTTCAGTCAGAAGTCAACAAACACCCAGCAAATAACAAACAGAAGAATAATGTAAAACGAGAGCCATAAAAATAGATTTAAAATAATTTTACATCCAACCTAACAAAAGAGAAAGGTTTTAAAAGTTCTTTGTAGACAAAACTTAAGTGGCGCGTATGATTTCTTCAAAGGAAATAAATCTGATCAGATTTGATTTTTGTGATTAACATTCAACTGTCTTCTGGTTTTACACCTCTCCCTAAATATATCTGTGTAACGCGTCAACACTTTTATTTGGTCAATCCGCCTCAAAGGAGAAAGAAGTGATGACCGTTATTAGATAAGATCTCTTTGTTTTTTTTCGCTTGATTAATTCCTGTGTATATTCCAATGACTCCTCACTCCCACGCTATTAATTCCCCCCGAGTACATATAAGGAACTTTCTCTCCAGTGTGACTAATGTTGGAAGTATAACTAATATGTGTAACAGAAGACATCCAAGAAATTCTAGTATCACCAGGAATGACATAAGACGTAAATAATACCTGAAATACGTAACGCATGCTAACATCTCTAGATTTACCTTTCTTCACGAGTTACTGTGAGAAGTAGGTGTCTCAGGTTAGGATTATTCACGTCAGAAGTATTTGTGTGTGGGACTATGTTTTAGAACGATTAAGAAATGTATTGCACATTTCTAAATTTGAAATAAGGTAAATGAAATACTCACAATAGCCGCTGCACCACCAGGAACCACTGACTTAATATAGATGCCACTGAGTTTCTGTCCGTCACCCTGAAATAAATTACATATTGAACTTTCAAGCATGTGCATTTGAAATCTAATAATGAACTTGAATCCAAAGCCTGCATATTGCATGCACTAACAATATTTAATAAAACAAAGATCTATCTCCTGACTTTTTCAAATTAAATTTGTAAAAATTAAATGACAAACAAAATACAGGTACTGACAGAAATATTCAATCAGAAAAAATGTAATAAAACAACTTGAAACATGAGAAACTGTGCACATACAATGTAAGTGTTTTATTGCTAAATCAACATTTTTTCCAAAAAAGAAAATTATGAGTTATTAGCCCTCTGTAAATACACACTGTAATGTATTTGATAACCTATATTTATATTACAGTAGCTTGAATTATGATATTTTTATCCTATGACACCATCTAGACAGGACTGATAATAATCTGGATGTAAAGTGAGGATGTGTGATTCAGAGATAGAAGCTGTCAACAGCTATCCAGGTATTGATACCTACCTGTAGATGTTAGAGGATCTGCCACGCCCACTTCTGTACAATTAACAGTCACTATCGATCTGTAAACAACTCATTAGTTATTGTCATTGAACCCACCCCAAAAATACTGTGGCATTATATTTAGGACTAATTATAAATCTATAATAATTTGTAAACCGCAGAGTTTGAAGAGTAACATTCATTTTGTCTGATATGACGGATACTGAGACCCACACCCCCTCCAAACTAAAATATCAAAAACATTGTCTTCTTTTATTCCATTCCATCTTCAAGAAATCTGGGCTTTTCATCATCCCTGAAACCAATTCTTATAAAATACCGTTTGAGATTTTACAGCAATAAAACAGACAAACACACAGACAAACTTCCACATTCCATTCGGGGTCAGATCCGATTTAAATACCCAGCACTGATAACGGGAACATATCTGTCAACAGAACAGATTATATGCTTTATAAACCCCCCTCCAAATCACAAACAGATTATTACACCAACCTGGCACTTATCTCAAAATTAGTGTTTGATTTTGTATGCTTTCTAGATTTCGTACAGGTGTGCAATTAGAACTTATTTACAACAATAAACAAATCACACACGCAGAGCATAAAACTAAGATAGCCTGTGAAAAGTTCACATTCCATAGATCTTTGTATCAATAAGTAAATATTTAATAAAAATTGATTTTTAAATTCATTTCAATTGTCGAATGTTCCCTATTGAAATATTCCAAAAACTAATGCCCTGTAGGTTTGTACCTTAATTACATACTTAGGATGTTAGTAAATTCAAACTTTGACACACTCTACTGTCACCATATTATAAATCACTCTTAATTAGAATCTATGTATCGCATAAACATGTAAAATGGTAAGTTTAATGAGAAAATACGGGATTTAATTTCCTAAAGACTTAGTCCAAACTGATACCATTTTCATAATTATCAATTATTCATATACTAGGTAGAAACCATATACCAATGTGTTAGAGCACTGTTTGTATTACATAGCTCTATCATATTCCAACAGTTGAGATGTCTATATTTTTTCAAGTAGGTCTCTAAATAGTTTAGTATTAAGATTCTGATAGGTCTCTTAGTTTTGTGTTTTGATTTTTCCAGCTAGGTGTATTAGTTTTGTGTTTAGATTTTTCCAGCTAGATCTCTTAGTTTGGTGTTTAGATTCCGATAGGTCTATTAGTTTGGTGTTTAGATTTTGCCAGGCCTCTAAGTTTATAGATTTTGCCCGGTCTGTTAGTCAATCAGACAATGAAGAGGTTACCTGTCCTGTACCTATTGTTTTACCTGATACTAAAACACTGCCAATTACATCAGGTGATTAGAAGATCTTACACAGATCTGTGCCAGCAGAAGACAAATGTTCTGTAGATAGCTCAGGGACAGACTGATCAGGGATCTACGATCAGTCCGTACCACAGAGAACAATTGTGTGTTGTAAGGATTACATGAGCAAACATTTCAATAGCAGAAAAACATAGCCTTGGATCATCCCCAACACACATACTCTGATCTAAAGGATTTCTCAGGGACCATGGAGGGGGATTCCACTAAAAGACACAGTTTCCCTCCAAAACAAGTGTCAACTTTATTTTTAATCATGCCCATTCCAACACATGTGGCTATTCTTTAAAAGGTTACAGACTTTTAAAAAAAAGGTCTTTATACATAATCTGCCTCACCTGAAATAACAGGTGAATTGTCACAATAATCTGTTGTTCTTTTATACACTAAGTTATTCTCAGTTGTCTCTTTAAGGAGGAATTATACATACTTGTCATTGTCGGCATAGCTGATTCTATTATCCTTATTTCTCATTATTAAACTAAAAATATTCATTAATAAATTTTCATACGTCTAATAAAGAAGATGTACAAGTCGATTTAGTTAATATAATGTATAATTATCAAATGTGATGGCATAATGTCTGTAAGTTTCACCAAGCATGTGCTAGCTTTAAAATTATCTGTACATAGTACATGTGTACATAGTACTGTTCTTATCAGTCTAACTGAGAACCCAAGTTCTTATCTTTCCTTATCAGCTCCCAAAACAAAACTTTCTCCAGTTTTTTTTCTTTAAAAACGATTGGTAATCTCACTATTCAAACAAGACCATGGTGTGTTTAACCAAGATTGAGTAAAATCAGTTTCTACTGAAGTTTTTCCACTTAATGATTGACAAGAGATTTTCTTAAGCAGTCAAACGGCCCTAAATAATGAGTTTTACCTTAACAAAAATCTGGACAAACAACAAATTCAAGGGGAGCCCAGTCCAAGAAAGTGATCGAAATCAACTTTTGTTTGCTCAACAAAATTGTAAAGTTTTTATGAAACAATTCTAAATTCATGAAAAAATTCCAATTTGAATCCCAATTTTCAGGCAAACAATCTTAAAATGTTGCCATTTGATGTCTATCTGTGTTGTGGAAGATTAAGAAATAAAATTATCTATTCAATTTCAAATGACGGAATGGAAGAAGGAATGAAGACAAGAGGCTTCTGTCGACAGACTTAGATTACAAAAAAATTGACTGTGCTTCCCTCATATCAGACATACAATCATCAATAATCCTCGATACATAATGAAATTATACAAGCTAACATTAAATCAATTTGTCAACTCAGGAATACAGAGTGACTAAGCTCTCAGACATCTAATGACATAACACCTGCATTCCTTGAGAGACTTCAAATAACATTCAACAACACTGTTACATAATTCAAAAATTTCTTTTGTTAATAGATATTTAAGAATAATTGAATAATGAAAATGGGAAATCAAATTTTCGTTGAATTATAATGGATGAAAATAGCATCTTGCATGAAAAACCAAATTTTCATTGATAATGAATGAAAATAGCATATTGCAACATCACCAAACAGGCATCAGTGGGATCCTGGAAATTCACTAGGGAGGAAAATTGACAGGGCTGTGTGATATACTGTTAGATCCACACCTTAAACTGAACAGATACTGTCTAGCACCAAACTTCTGGGAATTCTAGATGACTATCACAGAAAGCGGCACTTTGCTGGTCAATGTCTCACAAAGTATATCCCTTTATCAATAACTCCACAATTGTTTTGAACCTATTTACAGATAGAACTATTAAAAATATCCTTCCCAGTTTAGTGGTCTAATCCAAAAGTGAAAATCTTATTAGGTATAGCATAATGAATTTAAAACTCCGATTAAAAACAAATCAGTCCTCAGAAGTGTATATTTTAGATCAGAAAATCCCTCTCACATTGAGGAGTATGTAGGTGTTTAACTCTCCGTGCTCCTGTGTAATTTCCGTCTTAAGCAGTATTAACATTACACAACTCTGGACAATGTTTCAGGCTGACCAGTCCGCGCCACACAAATTTTAAAATTCAAAATACTATAAATCCCTCTGCTATCAAATGGAGAGAACTTAAAGAAAACATTCCACCGGCTCTAAATAAAATGTGATGCAAACATTTAAATGACCCCTTCGTCACAGGTAGAAAAGAAATCACTCAGGTGTGACCAAACTTTAGTACAATCGGCTGCAATCAACTGACAGATTCCAAAAAAAGTCTTTATCAAACATCTCGTGAGGTAACAGCGGTATTTGTATTTAAATAAATCGGGTGCCTCCTTATTCTTTACAAGGTTAGGTTTGCGCTGATAACAGGGTCGCGATAGGTTTCTACCTCACTGCAATATTTATAGCCGACCTCCATACCCAGCCAGGTAAGGGCTCCACCACAATATTTATAGCCCTCGTACAGAGCCAAGGAGCTTCAGAGAGGCATGTTGCAAAAGTAGAATAAATATTGTCAAAATTTTGTAAACAAACATGACTGATGACAGCACAATACGGAAAATGATGAGATATATATCAGGTAAAGATAAGAACTGATAGGACAATTGAGAGTTTACACATCACTGAATAGGGTGGATGGAATCATCTCTCAATCAAACACCTGGTTACAAAGCCAAGGTCTTAGATGCGACGAAGCATAAATCCTCCCATTTAAGGACATACGCAACGTACTTTACCTACTGATAATTTTCCAAGATATTCTAAATTTAAACTTATAATATAATTACATGTTCTTAGACAGAAAATCAGCATACGTTACCAGGGGTTTTAAAAAGATATCGAATTTTGAAAATTTTTGCATTATTCAAATAAAAATGTACAAGAATTATAAAACATAAATTTCAGATTTTTTTTCTTCAAAAATTATTTTAGAAGAGGTGTACAAATCCATATATAGATATTAAAAATATTGCACACAGGTCCTTCATTTAGTGGAACTCTTCAACTCCAGGGAAGAATCCAAATATGTTCAAACTACGTTGCGTATGACCTTAACAAGAAATATTGACAGCTCTATACCTGTCGCACTTGTGTTGCACTTGAAACTTTTGTACACATATTTTGTATCACAGATATTTCCCTCTTAGGCATGATCAAAACGATGACCGCGGCCTCAATATTAAAATACACAGTATATCAAATAAAATGGTTGAACAGTGACCGATTTCAGCTTAAGAAAATTTGAAAACGTTTCTAATATTGCTAAGGTAATTTGTATTGTATGCAGCCTGATAGATTTTATTTAATTTGGCCTAGCTAGCATCTGTGGATGGATGGGTTTTGAGATAATGAAAACATTTTTTTAAACAAATACATGTAAAAATTTTTGAAATGCCCTTTTCAAATGTGAGATAGCATCTCATTTTTAAATATTTTTTTTTTAAGAAGTTGAATATTTGTTATTAATTAATTATTAATTAATTTAATAATTATTTAAATTTAAATATGCCAAGCCTATTAGTTATTTCTACTCTGAATTAAAAAGAAAGTTCTCAAATGATGATAAAAAAATATATTAATTATTTTTATAAAGTTGTTTATTTACGTTGGTTTGCATATATTTATTTCCAGAGAATAAGATATGCTAAACATAAGAAAAACTTGGAATGGCCACACAATACTCTCTTAACCATGTTAACAGCTCTTGCAAGCATTTACAATTAAAGTAGTCAGTATATATACCTACATAAGAATACTCTTAATTACAAAATGTGAAAAATCAATGTTTTTGATTACACAGGCTGGCACTGATATTACAAGTGCTAACTTTAACACCTTCTGGTGAAATAGAAATTATCAATAACTCTAACAATATCATCCCCCCTCAGAAGTACTCTGCCTGTTTGACCCCAAACGTTACAAAGAGTCGGCCCGCTCACAACATACCGGGCCTACAAAGCCTGATTCTATTGATCTCCGACTTTTTTGTTTTAATTTGTCCACCTGTTTTACCCCTATACCTACAGGAAATGACTTCAGAATCTGTAAAACTCTCTTATTTAATGTACTGGTCACAGTTATTTAACAGATACAGGTACATGGATTAAATGTAACACCAGATTTCAAGAATGAAACCGCATTCATTACAACTAACCATCTGCTGAATACTGATCTCATAGACTCTGCTCTATCCAGGTAAACACCCCTCCTCAACCATACCTACACCTGTATTAAATTTGTCAGACATCCTTGTCCCTATCTGTGTTATCTCCCCCCACCCCCACCCACCCCCCTCTTCCTGTCCTGACAGAGGAACTGAGTTTCTCCATACTTCTGTATCCATTCCTTATTCTCTGTCCTGTAAAACATCTGTGCCTATTGTGAACCCCCCCCCCCCTTCCAATATCTGTCAAATCAAATACAAGTCTCCTCATCCTTGTACCTACCTCTTAACCTATACCCAATTCTGTCAGAAAGGAAAGTCTCTCATCTCACTTACCTTGGTTTTCTCCCCTCCCATCCTCCCATCTTTCTAGTAACCAATATATGGATGCATGAATCCATTTTGTCTTTTTGTTCCAGTATTAAAGGACTCAATACTACTAGCATTGTATGTGCACAGTTTCAAAGTGTCTGTAAGAATTTTATGATTACGAACACTCACTTATAAACACAGCAGAACTGACCTTGGGTGTGGCTTCCACAATACTCAGTCCCATGCTGCCCTTGACCTTGTTGAAGGACACTGTGGCTATCTCGGGTTCCTTTGGTAACTGTTGCTGAGGGCGATCTCCATGGTGACCAGCCTGTTGTTGTGGGGGTTGGTGGGGTCCCTTCCTAACAGCCTGTAAGTGATAACAAATAACAGTCTGTACAGAATGCATTAATGTACCCCGAAAAAAAGGTCTTAGAAGAAAACATTGAATAACTGGCCTTCTTTTGTCTAGGATGTGACCAAAGTCTAACTGCTGCCTTCTGCTGATTTCGAAGATTGAGAGAGATTTTACACAATTCATAAAACATCCTTCAGAAGCATCAGAATGAGATGTTTTAAGTCTCTAGAGTTTATATACCTACACAAATCAAATAATGACGACAGCAAGGGGGATCAATGGCCATGCAGATTTATCAGTATTTGTAACATACCAAACATCAATAAAAAGGCCAATCCAGGGACTTTATTATACTAACTGTACTGTGGCACACTCAGATTCCATGTTAAGCCTCTATTATTACAGAGTCATGTTCAGAAACATTTGTAGCAAGAGAACATCAACCATTGTACCATACCAACTATAACGACCAGCAAAGAAATTGATTTTTTTCTTTTCATACAAACTCTGATACAACTACTTAATCTAGTGCAATACACAACAGAAAGTTCACTGTATATACATACATCTTTGACATATTGGAATATTGACTGTTTTACAGGGACGGAAAGACAGTTATTTATTATCAAACACTGACTGTGCTGTACTATTTCCAATTACTGTATACAAGGTTATTTTCACCCTTTTACACTCACTAAGCAAATTTGACCCATTTCAAATTCACCCAGTCCCAGTTCTGTTTAAGAATTTATACTGTATTCTTTGAATTCGCCCCTTTTAAATTCGCCCACTTGTGACAAGGGTGAAAGGGCCAAAATTTCTGTGTATACAGTATTGCATTCAATTGATATAATGATTATGAAAGATCCACAGAATTCCGTCATGTCAGAACCTACAGAAAATTTTCATAGTCTTCCACCAACAGATCAATTGTAACCTTCAATTGATAGGCCTTACACTGATAGAACATTTCTAAGGCTTTCAATTGATAGGCCTTACACTAATAGAACATTTCTAAGGCCTTACTCTAATAAGCCTTACACTGATAGAACAATTCTACAGAATTACTGTACACTGACAGAACATTTCTATGGCCTTACATTGATAGGTTTTACACAAATAGAACATTTCTAAGGCCTTACTCTAATAAGACTTACACTGATAGAACAATTCTAAGGCCTATGCTTTCACTGAAAGAACATTTCTATGGCTTTACACTGATAGGCCTTACACTGACAGAACATTTCTACGGCCTTACATTGACAGAACATTTCTACAGTTTTACACTGATAGAACATTTCTACGGCCTTACACTGATAGATCATTTCTAAGGCCTTACACTGATAGATCATTTCTATGGCCTTACACTGATAGAACATTTCTAAGGCCTTACACTGATAGAACATTTCTATGGCCTTACACTGATGGAACATTTCTAAGGCCTTACACTGATAGAACATTTCTACGGCCTTACACTGATAGAACATTTCTAAGGCCTTACACTGATAGATCATTTCTATGGCCTTACACTGATAGAACATTTCTAAGGCCTTACACTGATAGAACATTTCTAAGGCCTTACACTGATAGAACATTTCTATGGCCTTACACTGATAGAACATTTCTATGGCCTTCCACTGATAGAACATTTCTACGGCCTTACACTGATAGAACATTTCAAAGGCCTTACACTGATAGAACATCTCTATGGCCTTACACTAATAGAACATTTCAAAGGCCTTACACTGATAGAACATTTCAAAGGCCTTACACTGATAGAACATCTCTATGGCCTTACACTGATCCAAGCAGAAACATACTTCCTCTCCCCAAACACAAACTGTTTCATCGGTGTGATCAGGCCCCGCTTCCTTAGTTTATCACGACATGTCATTATTCATTGCACATTTTCTTCTATTTATTTCACATTCTCCTCCATTCATTTCACATCAGTCATTTTACTTCTTTATGACACTGAAGGATCAGACTGCTTCCTCAACACTGTTCTACATCAACAGCTCGGCACACACACCTCATCCCTAACCCGTGTCTATTTATAGATCACACCAGGGATAAAGGTCTGGACACACCCCTGACCTGTGTCTAACTATAGATCACTCTGGAAACTCTGGTACAGAGAAAGTCTCCTGTCACTGACACAAACTGAGGAAGGAATCAAACCCAGGATTACTGACGTGTGGAATAAGTCTAATTCAAAGCATTTCCTTTGTTCTGCCTTTGGCCTTTGTTGACAACACGTATATATCATAGAGACACAGAAGTCAATACACAACTAATCCCGATTCTGCTGTAGCTCTAACAGTTATAAACTCAGGTAGTATATATATAATATACACCTCATAGTCACTGCAGGTTACCTGTACACTCAGGTAATATCTATACATACACACTCACCAGCACGCAGTAACTCCTAATACTCAGTCATCAAATAAATAGCAGTCATTCACTACTACATACCAATTCAGCAGGTATTTAAAAATACTTCATCATTTTAAATTATGTAAAATAGAAAAAATACTGAAAGCAAGTATTTTACATTTCCTGTAACTATTTTTGATTTCAAGCATCAATGAATGGCTGACACAAGAACATTATCTAATCTATTAAGTTACAGTGACTGCTAACATGAATAGAACAATATCAACTTTTTGAATAATAAATGCTGATATCATGGACTGATCAAAAGTTTGTGAATCAGAAACTAGGTGTAACTAGGTGTAGACTACACAGTACAATATAAAATCACAACATCGAGAACATTTAACAAGATTACTCAATTCCAAGACCACAGAAATCACTAATACACTAAATACATGCAGCCATTCCATACTCAGACAATTCTACAGAGTTCAGGGAGGTGGATTCAGGATTTACTGGGGTGTATTTAAGGATTTACAAGGGTGTATTATAAGGGGCACCAATAACATGCCTTTATCATTACCTTGTTGAAATACTGTAAACGAAATTAACATTTCAGTTTTCTTTAATTCTGCGTAGAAATATGCCCTGATTAAGATAAAGTCAGTGAGAATAATAAATCTATATAGAAAATTCACTTTAGGACTTCTAGAATTTCTTTATTCAAAATCCACACATTGTTTCCTAGCTGCAGTGATAGCATTACATTTTTTTAACCACTTAGAATTTTCCTATACTTTTCCAATGTTTTGTTAAATTACTGTAGAAGTACTTTTTTCCGCATGGTATTAATTTACGCTATGTACGCGGTCACACATTTACCGCGGAAATTTGTCCAAGCATACTTGATATAAATGCAAGGTATATAGTGACAGTGTGAGAAATCCGCGTAATTTTCAACCTGCGGATTAAACGGAAATTGAGATTCCGCAGAATTATGACTCCATGGAAAAAAGTACGTTTACAGTATCTCCTTCATTTTGGATTCAACATTAGCCTCCACAATCTTGGGGTTATATTTACCTTGTAAATTTTAGGGTTAACACTTATTGTTTCAATTGTGGGGTGTTATATCCTCGTCAATTTTGGGGTTTATAAACATCTTGTTAATTTGGGGTGGGGGGGTGGGGGTCCTCATAAATTTAGAGCTTAATATATACCTCCCTAATTTTTGTGTTAATATTAACTCCTCAAGGGTTAACATTTACTTCCTCAATTTTGGGGTTAATAATTACCTTTAATATTGACCTCGTCAATGTAAGAAGTCATATTTACCTCGTCTATTTTGGGACCCTCGTCCCCGGTCATGTACACTGTCCAGTCTCCGCTGGCCCCAGGCTGGGGGATCAATCGACACAGTCCTAGAAAATAACAAGGGGTCAGTACTTCTTATGGTTTATTTCTATAAATGCTCCAATATTTCAGTAAAATAAGATTTTTCTTGGTGACTAATTAGTGAACTAAATTCAATTTAAAATAATGTAAATGTGGATATTCATGTGTTGTTAATTACACAAATTAGAAGCAAAAAACAAACAGCAGGAGGATTTCAGTCATACCAATATCATTTATTCTTATAGCTGTAGATGTTGCTGGTCTGAAAAATTGGGGTGGACAACCAGTAAGCTACAGTGTCCCCCCCCACCTCTTTAAAACACAAAACAATTAAAACTCAGATCAAACAGAGTAAAATACCCTGTGTCTGTGTTGATAATGATTTTTTTTCCATTAAAGCATCTGTCCACATCAAAAAACAGCACCTTCTGATTCTTAAATAACACACAGACATTATCAGACATACCAGCTTTGGCCAGAGGTTCGATGAACTCATCAATTCCTTTAGGGATCCCCTTGATTGTATCACAGGTGTACCCATCCTCAGGTAGAAGAAACGGAAGCTGTAAATCTGCATGCTCTTCTAGACACACCTCACGTCCATCATTCTTGGTCAGTTCGTCGGCCATGTTTTCGGCGATCTTGACGATGTCCTCTATCAGACTCTGGGGGATGGGAGGTTCCCCGGGCTCGGGGATGTACCTCTGGAGAAGTTCCCGCAGCTGGAGGGAGTTTAACTTGAAGCAGGTGGAACTGATATTGGAAATGTCGTCATGGCTACTCTTAGGAGCCTGGAGTAGGTGTGCAGCCTATTGACAAAATACGGATGGTTATTTAGTAGATTTACATCTGCACTGCTTTGATTTCTAGTACATCAATTAACTTCACTGAGGGTTGACATATTCCTATGTCAACTATAATTGTCATTCTAAAACCTATAGATTTAAAATATTTACTTCTGGGAATAGACATTGTTTTCAAAACACTGAAGAAAACATTAAGCAAGATTTTGTCATCACACTGTCATAAAAAAGTTTGTCCACCAAAAACATAGTTTCTTGTCTTGATTTTTGCCTAACAGCATGTAAATGTACGCACCTGAATGATTCTACAGAGATGGCAGTCGGCGGCCAGCTCTAGCCCCTGTTTCTCAGCCCAGGCCTCGATACTCCCGAGGCGTCGCTTTAATCGGACGCCCCAGATCCTCATACAAAACTGATGCTGTTCCTTCACCAAGATGTTAAACAGCCACATGTTGATGAAGTGGAACAGCTGGGAGAAGAGCTGGATGGTGAGCGCAGCGTTAACACGACAGCGACGTAACAAATTCATAGCTGAGGACAGGGTGTCAAGGACATCGCTGAGTGTGGGGCGCCCTCTGTTGTACTGCATCCTGCTCTTATCTGCGGGGATATCAAAACAATTATATAATACTACTTTATGTATAGGAAACACAAAACATCTAGAGAAAGAGAGAAAATAGAACCAAACCAAAACTATATAAAAATAAAATTAGGCAGATTATAAATGGACAATTATAATTGGAGAGAAAGTCCAGCAACCCAGGTATATACATTCTCATGACAATAGTTTAAAGTATTATAAAATATCTCCAACATATTTCAATCTTTTTAAAATATCTTTAGTATGGAAACTCCTAGAGCCCTATCATGGGTGGCTAATTAAGGCTTTACACAGAGAGATATATTGGACGTGGTTACACTCACCATTAGGGTCTTCCTCATCACCATCATCCAGGAAAGCTGGCAGCGTCCTCTGAAGGTCGTACTGCAGACAGCGGACAAGATGGTGGAAGGCCATCTGTACAGACTCCGCCAGCATTTCCTGGGCGTCCTGACTGAACGGGTGAATGTCATGATCCTGCTTAAAGAAGTGAAGGATCTCAGAGGAGTTGGCCATCCAGAACGCCAGGGCCGCCGGATTGTCCCGGTTAGACTGTGAAATAAAATAGAAATCACCAACTCATGTATCGTCTCTTAATACTTTTACAAAATTATCACCTTATGGGGAAAACACTCTTCACTACAAATTAATTTAGACTAGTTATTAAGATTCAGATCAATATATTCTGACGTAAAAAGCCTGGAAACATAAAATGCTTTGAATATCATGTGTAAGAGGTGATTTCAAACTTGACTATCTTACCTTGATTTACTTTGTCTACTTACATGTATGGCTTGATGTGTGAGGTTGGCTATCTTGATCACGAGGTCAGTGATTTTGAGCGCTTTATCCTGAGGACTGAGATCAGGCCTATAACCATTAGACAGAGAGAAGCGGACAGCCATATAAATCGTGTAGGTAGGAGCCAGCTTAAACTGAAGACCTGCAGTAGCTGAGTCCAGAACAACATTGGCAAAGAAGTGGTCCTCTTCTGAAAAACAAGTTATTGGCTGATAAGATAAACAAATACTGACTACAGCTTGCAATTCAAAATTTCTTTCCTTTATAAAAACTTGCCCAAGAGTACACTTGTAATTTTATTATTTATATCCCACAGTTGTCTTTCTTTGTATATTATTATGAGATATCTAGAGTCCTTACTGTCTTCCCTGAACTCCAGCACGGCAGGCAGAAGGTCCCCTCCCTGTCTGTGTGGGGGGTACGCTGGCTCCTCCCTCCGTGGGGATCCCATCGGCTGAGGTACACCCCTACAAAAACAACAAAAATTATTTACAGAAAATTTATAGAAAATTTTTAGCCATATGTTATCTTTTTTTATTCTCAACATATTTTTATTTACGACTAAAGTCAATTTTAACAATAAAAGTATTTCTATTTAACATATGTATCAATAGACAAATCAATTATTGCCAGAGAATCAATACATTCACTGATATAATGTAATGTCACTCTACCTTCTCTGAGTTTCTGCTGGCTCCTGTGGTCTGGGTTCCCTGGGGGCAGGCACAGGGCGGGCGGCATCAAAGTTTGTCTCCATGGGCTTCTGATGGGGGGTGCGATGTTTCTGGATCGCCCCGTCTGGAGGGATCTGACCTTTCCTCAGTTTCTATAAACACAGACACATAAGACAAGGAAGACAACTCTGACTTTGTAATCAATACAACAAATCAATGTGGCATTGACAAGACAGATAACTCTTTGCAATCAATACAACTTAATGAGTCTCATCTATAGAAATTTATTCTCTTAAATTTTCATCTTGATCCAAAGTTTAATTTTTGCAATAGAAATTTTGTAATCTATCATGACAAGTAAGGTGAAAATATTCTCAAAATCTGAATATCAAACACATACATAGAAATATGTCAAGTAAATATATTCATGAGCTAGACTAAGTTTTGTTTTACTCAAAAATCAAAATTTTGGGTTTCCCTACCTCCTCGAAATTAGGATCAATAAATCTGAACACGTGTAGTTTTCCGAATCTGACTGTCATGCCGTTCTGTAGTGTTGTAGTTTCTGATATTCTCTGATTGTTTACGTGGGTCTCAGACTCTGGACTTCTGGGAGTTACGGTCACCACCCCGTCCTTTTCCACCAAACCCAACACACAGTGACGAGGCTGGATGTTTGGACCCTGCACCTAAACAGGAAATTAAAAATAAGTAATTCTATAATTGGAAACAGTTTATCGATTATTTTTTCCCCCCATATTTCCCCTGACAGTGTTGGCATCCTCATGCACTGATATTCTTCTGACCTATTTTTTAGGTAGCCTACCTGTATAATGATCTGTGATTAAAAGCTTGAAATACTATTTATAACATAACAGTTTAATCATTCACATTCAATATTAATCTTGTCTGTTTTTTTGTACATTGACAGCAAAATTTGGTATAAAGTTTTGCCCAATACTATCAATGCTCCCTTTTTTCTAACTTTGGGGATGCACAGTAGCAAGGGATCATAAGAAGTCAAGTTACACAGACAATCAAATCTACATCCTGCACTGTGTTACAAAAATATCCCAATCTGGATATTAATTATACTCTGGGAACTGACCTTGATAAACATGGAGGGGTCACTTCCAACCTCTGTAAACTTCATGTTCAGTCTGTACACCTTCCCTTTGGGGTTGTCTGATCCATCTGTAAATAATCCCAAAACAGTCAAAATTTAATCAAGAAAACATAATTATTACCTTTACTCCATCAAAATTCTTACCCAGTCAGCGATGTAAAATAAAAAAAAGTGACCTGTACATTTTCTGCCAAATATGATATATAATTCAGTGCTAATGGCTTTTGTTTGTTACATATAATGCAATATTTTTGAAAACTTATTCTGTATTTTTTGAATGCACAGATAAACTATCACTATGAATAAAGTGCATATTTAGACCATAAGTTATTTCCCCTCTACACAGCAATCAATTATCACGTTTAAAATATTCCTATCCAATAGACATGAAAAATACAAAGGCAAACTCTGTCTATCTTCTTCCTTTTTGACATTTTATGCACTTCTCTAACTTACCTGGATTAAGTTCTACGAGGTATGGTAATTTTTGTGGGGGAGCGTCGTCGTTCTTCATTCTAAGTTCCTCGTGAGACACCGCTCGGAGCTTCTTATGTTTTGGCTTCTTGGCATCATTACGTCTTCTGAAGTGGAACATCATAGTTCCTACAAACAAAGGCATAGAACATTATTTGGTGGAAAATTTGTGTAAGGAATATATATGTGTGCAATTTTATATTTTACAAATAATATTTCTACAAAACCTAAAAATATTCAAATGTGATGATGTAATACCACTGCTTTCATAACTGACTATATCAGCATTTCTTGATCTTAATTTACCAATTTATTAATTATATCACTCTCTCCTAAGCCAGTCAATACGTGATTGACCATCATCTCTGAATATCGATTGGTATAAAAAATAAACTTCTAAGCTATAGCCTGATAGACATTTTTACTTAAGTAGGTTATATACCAATTTAATGTTCATATCTAAACTCACTTCAGAGCATTAAAAAAATTCCCCTTGCATGTTTCTAGCTATTAATGTATCATGACTATACAGCTATGCAATCACAGTAATTGCCAAAGAACAATAATAACTTTTTGAGTTACATCATCCACAGGAGTGGGTTTTATTTGTGTCTTTATTTAGCTGATGATGCAGCGAGCTTCATCTCCTCACTGTACAGGTACACATATATTGACAGTTTACACGGTACACTAATATTGATAGTATACAAGGTACACCAATATTGTAAGTATATGAGGTACACCAATATTGATAATATACAAGGTACACCAATATTGACGGGATACAGAACACAGCTGCCAGCTGGATCATTAGTTAACTTAGACATTCAGGGTCTGATGATTAATTATATATTAAATCTAGACCTCACTAGATCATATCTTCTTCAAGGTCATTATTGAACAATTTATAATCCATCTTTATAGATCTCATATGCTCTGCTATGTCATAATAGTTTTAAAAAGGAATAAATTATTTCATTCCTATAAAAGATACCTAGCCTCACTTTAAATGAAAACCCAAACCTCAAGTGCAAGCTTCAACGTATTTTCTCAATTTTATTGGCCATACAGGCAATTTTTTTTCTAAATCACAGTCTTGAGATGCACAAAGGGAGCTTACTCTGTCACACATCCAGCATGCAGTATTTAACATCACAACTGACCTTTAGTGGGAGGGAAATCCATGGCGATGGCCAGCGGACACTCGTGATCCTCCATGATTCTCTCCTCTCCAATGTTCCCTCCATGGTACTCCCTCTCACCTGGGGGCACCAACACCTGTAAAATTCAAACAGGTGTAAATCAAAAGCTCTGGTGAAGATAAATTGTAAAATTGTAGTGTGCTTAAATACAAAGCCTCCAATGTGTGCCATTACATGTAGAAACAAAGTTTTCAAATATAACTAGAAGGATTCAACCAAAAATTATTTTTCACCATTAAAACAATGTTACCAATATTCACAAATTAGTGAAAATATGGCTGGACTCATTTGAATCAATTTGTTAATTGCTTTCTGCAAGGAAGCAATACTAAGGGTTATAATTTTCCCCTTTCAAAACCAAACTTGTGTCTTATGGGTCTTATAAACCATATAGTTATAAATGCTTATGATTACAATATATATTGTCATGCTTATATCTTAAAATTGTATTAATTTCCCATAAAGGAGAGAGTTTCCCGAGGGGTTCAGAACCAATCTTCTCTAGGCCTGTAATGCTCACCTGAACCAAACAGAAATCGTCAGGGTCATTGACGCTGAAGTCCATCCCGTATTTGTCCATGGTCTCCTTGATGACATAGCGGACATTGTCGGCGGTGGACAGGAGGAGGGTCTTGTAGGGAATGTCTGGCTTAATACTCTCTCCATAGATCTTCAGCGTACCTCCTAGAGGAAGTAACAAAATAAAAATCAATTTCTTACAGTCTGAATACCAACACTGAGCTGAAAACTTCACTTTTGATTATAGTTCGAGATAATTAAAATTCATTAACATGAGCATATCCATGCGTTGAAGCTAAAACGTATTAAAATCATAGTACAGGTATCTGGGCTTGTTAATAATTTTACATTTATCTGAAAATACTGTGATTGATGTATTATGCTAAAGAACTAAATTCAATTCAATGGTGCAAAATTTGTAATCACCATTCATAGATTACAATTTACATTTACCTTATTTTAAAAATAACTACACGGAAGGTGAAATAAAAAAAAAAAAACTCAATGTGCCCTACATCATATGTACATATTTTAGTGAAAGATTATATCTAATTGTTTACAACCCCACAAAGTATATTGAAAAGCGACTACCCTGTTTGAACAAAAAGTCAACTCATGTTCACTGAACCATACTAGAAACTTAAAATCTACATACTTTTACAAATTTTATCTACAATGGCATTTATACACAGGCTTTGTTCTCCTTCAATGACTGAAGAGTTTAATGTAAACACTGATTATGCCTATCATCTGATGTTGACTATCTCCTTAAGTGGCTCAAATGGCCCTTAACTAGCCGGACCAAGGGAAGGTCAAGGTCTCGGGAAATACTGGCTTTAAGACATTGATGTCTCACTTAATTTTCTAATCCAAGCCTTTATGAAAAGTTTATCCAGAATTTACTTAAAAATCCTTTCAAACACTGGGTATTTTTGTTGCTATGGAAATTATTAAATGTTTCAAAATAATTGTATATCAATTCTTAATTGCCTCTTACATTTATTGAAAACCCTAACACATGAAAACATGTTGCAGATCAGAATATTTAAAGGTTGAATTTTTTTCCTGCAGACTGACTTTGTTTAATGTAATCATTTCTTTTTACATTAGATACTTCATATTTAAAGGTAAGAATCAGCAAACTGTATACAGAAGAAAGTCTGTTTATATCATTAGCATGCTGTACACCACTTGTTTTCTCCATTGTTTATAATAAAAAGCACTATCATGTTTCTTATTTGGCAAAAACAACACCGAAAGCTATTCTTAATAACACTCTCTAGGAACCTTCTGGTTGGAGACTCTTAAAGCCAGTAAGCGGTCATTTCCCTGACTAATTCTTGTACGCTGACCTCTGATGTAAATTCCTGTCGAGGTCAGGCCTATTATACACCTGAGGGAGAGATCTACACAGAAATGTACAGCACCATGTGTTTTATGTATACACTAATTATCAGGTAGAGAAACAAGGGGTGGGGAGGACCTGTTTATTTCTGTTACAGCCAGCCTGCCATATCATCACAATTAGCGGGAAAATAACGACTCTACCAGACCACGGAACCACTTCATAATGGGAGATAGCCCCCGACTCTGATCTACGCCAAGTCATCAGGTCTGAACTCCCTAACAGGAAATTCTGTGATTAGATAACGTAATTAACTGAGCTGGTCCCCTCCATGTCCTTGTCACCCAGGAGAAAGGGAACAGATACTGCGAATTGGCAGTTAGGTCTGATCCTCACCACCAATAAATAAATAATCACAATTCATTACGTACAAGTTCTCTCCTCTCTGTAGAGAAGGGGACGGACAGTGGATGTCTAAAGTTTAAAGCCTATCCACTTCTCAAAGACTATATGTATATTAACAAGATTTCATGGCCTTCTCATTCACTTTATCTCAACTGCAGAGTTTGCAAGGGATCAAAACCAGATCAAAAACATGGATTAAATACATGATTTTTCAGTGAAATGAATTTACATGCCAAGTTAGCTTTGATCATACAATTATCCTAAATCCTTCCAAATACTTTTCCCATCCAGGGTCCATAAAGCCCTTAGTTGTAGCTAGAAAATACATGTATCCTTTTATCGTTTAAGGGAATTTTTATCAATAATTGATGCTTCTGCATCTCCCCTTCTGTAAACTGATCTATTATGTTGAATCTTTTATGATGTGCAATCCTATGTGAATGGACTCTCTCTCATATAAACACAGACTATAGAAATTTCCATTGCAAAGGACCTGTTGAAAAGTAGATAAAATGTACATGTTCAGTCATGTTTATAAAATTTCATAAACATTCCAAACAGTTTGTGCAGTGCGTGTGATTCATTAGGTATCACGTTTTTCTCCATATATAACATATCTTTCCATCTGTTAAAATTTTCAGTGTTTACATTAAAAATCAATTCTCCTCTGTTAGTTAAAGTGTGTGGGTTTCTAATTTTTCTGAATCGGGTTAAACTGACACCGTTTTTACGTAGGCCCATTTTTAGACACACAGAATTGTACTATGACTTCATGATCTGCGTCTACACTAATCCAATTACAAAATATAAAGCTTACACAGAATTAGACCCGGCTGTCAAAATGTAGACTATAGAATTATGTCCTTCAGTCTTTTACTTCATTCATATTACTAGTAGATTTAAACAGATTTACGACAAGATTTACAACTTCTAAATATGAGTGTGCAAGGTAATTAATTCAGTAAAAGGGTCAACAAAATGTGTATTACATCTGAACAGGAATTAAGAAGGGACCATTTATCTTGATTATGACTGCAAAAAGAAATCTATTTTTACCATTTTTACTCTTCTTAAAAGTTAAGTTGTAAATTTGAATACACTGACATTAGTTAATAATCTTTAAACGAATGGAATGGTATATGTTAGTTGTGGAAGATTGTTGGTCTAACACCCAATCTTGAAAAATAGGTAGAGCAGAGCACTTAAAGACTGCATTATAAATAGAACACTGCTTCATTTGTGCACCAAAATTAATGAACAATGTGAGGTAGCAACACGCCCAGGTAACGGAAATCAATTTAAAAACCCTCCTTCAAACTAACTCGAAATGCGTTACTCAATGTTCCCTGGGGATTTTCTAACTTTTTTAAGTGCAGGGTTAAATGCAAGTTAATAACTGTCATTAATATTCAGATTGGCCCAAAGGCAAATACAAAGAGAGGATTTACACAAAAGACAATTTAAATTTCACACAGATATCATAAAACATCCACATTTAAAATACACAACAGTTATCTGTCCAAATTATCTGTGTCAATGTCATTACCCTCTCAAATACAATATGACTAAACAAAAACGTAATAATATTAATGCGTAAATTTCCTTAAATGTTGTTTATAGCGTTTTCTTAAACATGTTAAATAATACTTATTCGTTTTTCTTCTTTCTTTTTTTTTGGGGGGGGGGGGGGGATGCTTTATTCTTGTATGCCCTGGCCATATTTTTAAGCGTAATTTATCGACACTAACCTTGTCCGTCCTGACCCCGACACTGCTGTAGTTTCTTCTCCACTTTCTGCTGACGTCGTCGCTTCATCACGGCCTCGGGGTTAGAGATGCTTCGGGTAAATCGTGTCTCCGGCATGTCTGTATACAGCTGCTCCGCGGCATTACCCGAGTCCAGAATCTTCTTCTCCTTCTCTTTCTTCTTGGCCTCCTTCTTCTCTCGCTTCGACAACTTCCTCTTAAATGTCCCTCCCTGGTTCTCTTTGTTATCTGCATGTGGAACAGTTGTGTCCCCCTGAAAGGTTATAACAGGATAGGAAAGTTAGCAGCTATAGTAATAAATGTTGATCATGAACAATGGCACTAACTTTAGTTACTAAAATAAAATGAAGCAGAATTAGTTAAACACCCGGCCTTCACATATTAACACAAATGATTTTTTTTTTCCGTTTTGTTCTAGTTGTTGCACAAACAAGGTAAAATATTTACATGCAATTGATCAACTTACAAGAAAATATCTAAATAAAGTTCATAATCATGATAATTTATAATTGTGATGTCATTTTTTTTTGTTTTAGATAGGGGAAATCTCCAGCTTCAGATACATTGAAGCATGTCAAAAATATAATACACGCTATCAAACCAATCCACAAAAACAAATTAGCCATCATAACCATTTATGGAATCAATTAACTCGTATGTATACATTTTGTTCTTTGTTATGCTTTGGACCGGAGAGAAACAAAAATCAATGGACAACAAGCTGATCATCATCACTGAAGTACCGGGATGAAGATTCACGTCTATTGTGTAATTATTATTTATTTATCTACTGAAAGGCCATCATTCTATCCCAGAAAACTTAGCATGGCATTACTGGAAACAAATTTAAGTCCGACATGCCTAGTGTGTCCACTTTATCAACCTTTCTCTTCATGCTATGTATATAATTATAATACTCTATCTCTGACAATATCATCCCAACAATAAACTAGAGCAATCAAAATAATTGATAACTGGACAAATATAAAGAATCCGATTGAATTCAAGGTCAGACCACTAATTTAGTGAACATGGTGAACAGCTTAATAAGTTTAAGCCCTCTGTGTAGGGAATTAATGACAGGAATAGCCTTGGAGTTTATTAGATTAAATATCCAATATCAATAAAAGACAAGCTCCATTACTTAATGGCATTGGTCTGCTAATGGTCAGTCCCTTAATTTGTCCACACATAAATGTCCTTGAGTGACCTTGACACAACATTTTAAGACTGCTCAATAATCATGATAATGCTTGCCACCCTGTGTACATGTACATACAATGACATATGTTATAAATTACACTACAGAATAAATGCTTAACATGTTAAATAAGAGTTTTGGAATTAAATTCTGATCATAATGTCCATGAGAGACTGCCTCCCATGTTCCTGGGGTGGACACTTTCAGATCATGGTCATTATGGGGGCCATGAGAATTTTCTTTTAGATCACAGAGATCTTGGGTAGTTTGCTCTGACACATGTCTCAGCCTCAATCCCTGGTGTAATAATTCACTTACTCTTTGTTTACCCTCAGCAATTAATGTCTCTGATTTTGAGCTAGTTTATTTTTGCACCACATTTCTTCTATATAAAAGGTACTGTAAATGTACATTAAATTTGGCGTATTTAAAATTTAGCGTAATCACTGGGTAAGGAGTTGTTGGCATAATCATAAAGTAGCGCAACACGTTCGTTTAGTGTATTGTATATGTAAATGATTTCTTAGTGATGTTCATGAATTAGCGCATTGTACGTGTCTGCGTCAGTCGCTAAAATATGAAGCCCGCCTTTTAAAGTACACATATAGGGTTACATTACAACTAAAGATCTATTAGTCTATAGACCCTGATATTTTACCTGTCTTTTAAGTAAGAATCTTCCCTCCCTTACGTCTGTACCCCAGTTCAGCTGTACCCACAAAACTCTCTCACTGTCGTCCAACTTTCTCTCCTCTGTAAAATATCAAATGTAATCAATGGTAATCATATAATAATTAACAGAGAAATATACACATAATACATGCATTTAATTTGAATTGAATGTACTTGTTTTAGAGTGGTGGTGGTGGTGGTGTGTGTGTGTGTGTGGGGGGGGGGGATTGTCACATGTTGATTGATTGAAGAAAATGAGATGGCAGAAATGATTAAATTTGTCTTCTACAAATTATCCTGTCCTGATGAATACATCACAGCTATAAATTTAAACCTACATGAAAGATAAAATAATCCCTTCTTTTTTTCGACACAACACATTAAAGCCTGAATAACAGGTTAATATCTGGTTTTATTAACCTACAGGTACAGAATGTACCACATTTGTATCACAAACTTCCACTGGATACAGTCAGTACCTATACGGCTTGTTTCCGTTTGTGAGGTGGTTTGGAACATTGACCGATTATTGATAATCACTGATTGATTTCCAATTTATATGATCCCAATACTTATCAGACAATCTATCAGAACTATTCACTGAAGTCAACAGATGTAATCAGCTGTGTTACTGAATACAGGTGTATATTATTTGACCTGTATAATTTAGACATACTAGTACATGCTGTATATTTAGATGAATCTATCCATCCATCATACTTTGTATACTTCACACGCTACAACCCGAATACCACACTCAATATCTATCATGTCTATATAACATGTATAATAAATGTACTAACAATTCCACATTTATACATGAGAGACTTGATTTTCTCCAATGAAAAATAGCTTTCCCAAAGAAAAGAAATGATATACAGCAAATCTGCTAAAATCTGCTAAAAATACATGTACATTTACATTTACATGCTGATGTGTTCACCTTGTACTTGTGACACAATGTGTCCTACCTGACATACGCTAGCATGATCTAAAGGAATTACAATTTATCATGTCAATATACATTCCCAAATCTCTTCATTGCTCATATCTATTGAGGCACTTTTAAAAATTGCCACAGAGAACAGACAGATTTCCATTTTAATCCCTGTTTGATCTGATTAAACAACAGATAAATGTTCTGGATTAAATAGCCATTAATACGACATTGGGCTGGACTGAGGTGGTAAAGGGCTGGTTTAGGTTTTATGGCTGTCTGGTACAACATTGGGCTGGACTGAGGTGGTAAGGGGCTGGTTTAGGTTTTATGGCTGTCTGGTACAACATTGGGCTGGACTGAGGTGGTAAGGGGCTGGTTTAGGTTTTATGGCTGTCTGGTCTGAGAGATAGTGGCTCTGATGGGACAATGGACTCAGGCAGGTAGAGATCATGGTAGTGGAGTGTCTGTCTGTAAGATAATGGTGGTGATGGGAAATGGACTCAGGTGGTGATGGGGAGTGGACTCAGGTGGTGATGGGAAATGGACTCATGTGGTGATGGGGAGTGGACTCAGGTGGTGATGGGGAGTGGACTCAGGTGGTGATGGGGAGTGGACTCAGGTGGTGATGGGGAGTGGACTCAGGTGGTGATGGGGAGTGGACTCAGGTGATGATGGGGAGTGGACTCAGGTGGTGATGGGGAGTGGACTCAGGTGATGATGGGGAGTGGACTCAGGTGGTGATGGGGAGTGGACTCAGGTGGTGATGGGTAGTGGACTCAGGTGGTGATGGGGAGTGGACTCAGGTGGTGATGGGGAGTGGACTCAGGTGGTGATGGGGAGTGGACTCAGGTGATGATGGGGAGTGGACTCAGGTGGTGATGGGGAGTGGACTCAGGTGGTGATGGGGAGTGGACTCAGGTGGTGATGGGGAGTGGACTCAGGTGGTGATGGGGAGTGGACTCAGGTGATGATGGGGAGTGGACTCAGGTGGTGATGGGGAGTGGACTCAGGTGGTGATGGGGAGTGGACTCAGGTGATGATGGGGAGTGGACTCAGGTGGTGATGGGGAGTGGACTCAGGTGGTGATGGGTAGTGGACTCAGGTGGTGATGGGGAGTGGACTCAGGTGGTGATGGGGAGTGGACTCAGGTGGTGATGGGTAGTGGACTCAGGTGGTGATGGGGAGTGGACTCAGGTGGTGATGGGGAGTGGACTCAGGTGGTGATGGGTAGTGGACTCAGGTGGTGATGGGGAGTGGACTCAGGTGGTGACAGGCTGTATTGGAAAGACTTCCTGATTTGACAGGCAGTGGCTCTGATGGGGAGTGGACTCAGGTGGTGATGGGGAGTGGACTCAGGTGGTGACAGGCTGTATTGGAAAGACTTCCTGATTTGACAGGCAGTGGCTCTGATGGGGAGTGGACTCAGGTGGTGACAGGCTGTAGTGGAAAGACTTCCTGATTTGACAGGCAGTGGCTCTGATGGGGAGTGGACTCAGGTGGTGACAGGCTGTAGTGGAAAGACTTCCTGATTTGACAGGCAGTGGCTCTGATGGGGAGTGGACTCAGGTGGTGATGGGGAGTGGACTCAGGTGGTGATGGGGAGTGGACTCAGGTGGTGATGAGGTGTGGACTCAGGTGGTGACAGGCTGTATTGGGAAGACTTCCTGGTCTGAGAGGTAGTGGCTCTGATGGGGAGTGGGGTGTGTCTATGGACTGTAGTACAACACTGTCTGGTCTGAGAGGTTGAGATGGTGATGGACTATGACGGGAAGACTGTCTACATAGTCTGTATGATAGTAGTGAGCAAGTCAATAATAACCTCTAAAGATTGTCCAGTCTGTGAGATAGTGGCTCTGATAAAGACTGAGTAGGGATGCTGATGGAAAAAGTGTATAGTCTAGGATATAGTGGCACTGAAAATAAGTGGGCTGAGATGGTGATGGGCTGTGATGGTGATGGGCATGTGATTACGGGCTGTGATGGGAAGAATATCTAGCCTGTAAGATCATGGTATGTGAGGTGATGAGGTGATGATGGTCTGGACTTATTGAAACTGCATGGCTCTGATTAATGGAGAGTGGGCTAATTGATGGTGATGGGTTGAAACATGGTGGAAAATCTGTCTGCTCTCCAAGTTACATGCAGGCTCTGATGGAACCTTTTCCTAAGAATTTGACAGGAACTAGGAATTATACCTGATCATGCTGACACCTTTCAGGGTGATCAAGTTAAGGTCAAAAACCCCAGTAGTAAGCAAGGTCACAAGCACTTTAACATGTTTAAGTCCATACATTTATCTGTTATAATTAAAGTCTGTATCAAAACTAAATGCATGACTGCAAGAATCTGATACATGGGAGATCAGATTTCCTGTTGTTGGTTATTTATGCAAGAATGTTTCAAATGTGACCCCAGAAGATAAAAAGAAATTGAAACACAAGGTATCTGTGGGTGTGTGGTTAGGAAAGTTTTTACCTGTGACAAATTACACTAAAATCAATCATATAGACTCATTGTAGATGACTGTGTCATGGACATTTCAGATATCCCCTACCCCTTATAAAAACAAAGTAACTATTTTTTAACAGAATAAGGTACTTTGTTCCTAATGGCTCTGTTCCAAGTGTGAAATTGCTCTGTGGCATAAAAAATTGGACTGTATCTTAACATAGTAATAAACGAACACAATGACCAAATGCCATTGTTATATTTGTTAAATGTCAAAAGATGTATGTAACTGATATATCTTTTTATATTGTTCTAAAAATGCTAAACAAAAATGCTATGCCCATGATGCCATTCTACATTTAGCAAACCTAAAATGACTGGAATGTTTAAATTCAAAGAATGCAATGTCAGCTGTAATTTAACAAATTACTAGACAAAATTTAAAAAGTCAAAGAGACATAGATGAAGTTCTGTGTTCTGGGTATTGTGTTATCTTACAATAGAGACAGAAGAAGACATGTACAATGGAATTCAGAGCAATTCTTATACATGTGTACTCTGCTATAGACATGAAGGAGATATTATGATACATTTCTACTGATTTCATCTCATTGCTCTAAGTGCCTATTCATGTTTCAATGCTATTCACTCAATAAACATGATTAGAGATCAAAGTTAGCAATATTTTTTATAAATACATGCATCAATCCCACTTTCACAATGTACTAATAACCATGATGACTTTTTAACATAGCCTAAACTGTAGTTTTCTCCTTTTTCCTTACCCCCGTTGGCATGGACCTCATACAGCGCGTATTTGTTGGCCGTCAACATGCGCATGTCGGGCCGGAACTTCTCCACCAGGACGTCCACCACTTCCTGTGTGGTAGCCGAGCTTGCCACGCGGATACATTTTGTCACCACGTTATTCCCGTCTTGGAAGTAGAACCTGACCACACCATGGAACTCACAATCCTATTATTAGAAAAAAAATCGAAAAATTTTAAATTGATGCAGGTGATATAATTATACATTTAGTATGCTTTGTTGCAAGGTTGATTTAAATATTTCAAACATTAATACACATTTCTAAACTAATATATATATTTGATAAAGATGTTGGTAACTCCATCTTTCTTTAGCATCTTGGTGTACAATAACCCTAGTGTTCGCAGATGTACCCAGCTTTTCAAATTAAGAAGTTTCCTCTATTAATACTTTTGGTTTTATTTTGCAGTCAAATCTTGGAATGTACATCATAAACAAGTCTGAAAACAGGAAATAGGTCAAGGCACAAATAGGAAGGTGAACAAAGCTACAGTAAGCAAATAGGTATAAACACTGACTCAGGTAAACCCAACTCTTCCTGTGTCCAGGTAAAACACCTGTAAATCTGATCATCTGGTGACCTGAAGTGAGAGGTCTGGTCTACTCTGTACACCAGCTTTAGGTGACACCTGTAGACCAGCCTGGTCCCCTGTGGCCAGATCAGTTCCTGGTCCACATTCCTGACATACTTTTGTGAATCGCTTTACAATCAATCAGGTAAATAAACCAAGTAATGAACAGGTACTGTGTCAGTACTCAAATCGAATAATATACTGCGTACATGTATGTTATATATGTTATGAAATTTCTGATATATTCCTGATGTGATGTTTACAATATAGATTTATCTCAGACTATCTGTGACCCTTGCTTGTTATGATTAGGATGCAAAGTCATTAAGTCACTTACAATTAAGATAATGCCACCCATACATTGTGTAACATGAGCAAATGAGGGGCTGAATACCTCAGACAGAAAGAAAAAATAATGTGTAAATTATATAATCACAAAAAGGTTTTTTTTTCTTCAGTATGTTCAGATTCTCATACGTATATATTTAGTTAATTTTAAATAGAATACCCCATGTTATATGTTTTATGCATATAAAAATCGGTTCTGCCCAATGATGTTTCAGAATTACAAAAGATTAACTGGCTTCAATCAATCCTCCACTTAAAAAATTCAACAGTCAGGCAACACTGTTTCTGCACTTCAGAAAAATACAAAATATACATGAAAATGGAATTCATTTGACCATGTTGACTATTCTACATGTTCTAAATCAGTCTTTAGTTGCTCCCTAAGTGTAAAATATTTTAATAACTATAGGGTTCAAAATGCCTCTGTGAGCCATGGTATACTGAACAGAGTACAATTGTTTTAGGGATTTGTATGACATGTAGATGTCTGATATATGACAGATTATTATACAACTGGCTCATCATTTTACATTTCATGTCCTACAGCTATTGAATACGTAATAGTGAGAAGTAATAAACACGCATGTTTAAAATTGTATTGGTGGATTTGATCATGTTTGATAAAAATTAAATTGGAATTCATAGACATTTAGGTTCAGAAGAATTTCTGAACTTGTAATTGTTTTTTTTTTTTAATTCCTCCAATATTTTGATAAAAAAAAAAATTTCAGCAGGTACCCCAAATCAACAAAATGTTTGTGTGTAGATGTGTGTATTTCATTAATTTGATATGTGTCCTATGCGTCAATGCAGTGAATTATTTGTTAGTCATAAATGAGGTCACATAAAGGGAGGTAATGAGGTCAACCCATTTTCCACCTGTATTCTTGAGGGTGTGATTCGCACTGTCACTTTACTGTGAGACACTCTGCTCCTCGAGTCAGAGAGACTTTTACGATGTAATGTTTCCAGTGACAAGCCATTACTGGTCCTACATGCCTAACACTGTGTCCCGACTGACAGTCTACGAGGAGGCAGCCATCTTGAAATTTTGTTGACACCTGAGTTTACCTGCACATATACACTCCACAGGTAAACTACGTAAATCGCTCAAAACAACTAACTTTTGAACCAAAATGAGACAAGAAACCATAAAAAATAAATTCTAGATATGCAGTTTGTCATGAATTACCTCGTTGGGTTGACTTAATTCGAATAAATCGTAATGGTCCTGATTCCACTGTGTGATTATGTTCGCGAGCCGCTGTCGCTCAATGTTCTTATCCGTCATTTTGACTACTTAATAGCCATCAAAGCCCAATAACAATATTCTTGAAATAATGTATCCAATCACATTTAGGAAATATTTCCGTTTTTGCAAGTCCTCTTTTAAGATTATAGCTTCCGTATTTCGAATACACAGTCACAACAACTGGTTTTTGAACGGCATCGAATGGTCAAATAGTGCGCATGCGCGCTACCTACATAACGCGATTTACCCCCAAGGTGCCCGCACCTAAAATATTTACAACAGGGATAATCCAGAGTTATATTGTCATTTACTCAAATAAACATTTCCATGAATAAGTAAGGGTGTTTGGTAAATCACTGTCACCCGATTTGCAAAATTAAGAGTTGGATAATTTATCTAAATTTTTGGAGGATTTTTTTTTAAATTCAAATGTACTTTTTTAAATGGTAAGTGTACTTTAATTAACGTATTTTTTTGGGGGGGAGGGGGTCTATTTTTTATCTCTTTAAATTTCAAAAAAAAAATTAATTTTATTCCAAATCCGTCACGAAAAACTGATAAAATGTACTTTTATATAAGATTAGTAGGTTTTGCCGAGTGTATGTGAAAAGAATTAATGTGTGAATGATTATATATCTAGACTTGTATGCTCAGGCAAATAAATCTTGTGATAAGTTAATTATGTTGAATATACTTCGGTAATAAGCACATACTTTAAATTTTTAAACAGCCCCAGAACTGTAGCTCTACGGAAAAGAAGAGATTCGGACAGACTTACAGGTCTCTGGTACATATGTTACTTTCTGTTCCAAAGATACACAACACGCACTTGACAATAATGCATAATGGTGCCTGTAGATATTTGCCAGTTGCACCTTAATTATTAGAATGTTCCAAGAAAGCTAACCCTAATATACACATACTGTAGAAAGCAACATGCGTAGCACTATTTTGAAAAGTATTTTGGTAGCAGTGAAAGGAAGTAAAATACATTTACATCGAAATAAAATTTGGAGAAAAAAACTGTAAGAGTTGCAAGTAAATAATATACAGTATATTATTTACTTGCAACTTTTACAGTTTTTTATGTCAATACATATACTTAATTCTAGTTACTTATAACAGCCATCTGCATGATGGAATCATAATTATATTTTCTGTTACCCTACCAAAATTATACATTATATCATGCTGTTGTGTATGATATTACATTTGCAAATGTTTTCTTTTATATAACACTACTGAAAGCAATGCGTATCTATATAGCTGTATAAATACCGATACGGGCTCAAGAGGTCATATGGATAAACATTCGACGTAATTTTCTTTGTGTCGTCATAAAGGGTCGACGCGCGTTCAGTGGATAACTTAGCAGACTTCCGAGTTACTGCCGGAACAACGTTTTATTCTTGATTTTACACACTGCGGTCACGTGATTCGAAACTTTTTTTAGCCCTCGATACTTCCGGTGCAGACGATAATATGGCGAGTAGGCCTAGCAAAACTCGGTATTACTGTGCTGCCGAGGGCTGTCATGCTGACACAAAGAAAAGGGGAAGATATGGGTATATGACAGAAGTCAAGTTTTTCCCTTTCCCAACACAGAAAAAGGACCCAAAATGTAGGCGAGCGTGGCTAAGTTTGCTGCGGCGGAAAGATTACGACCCACCTATGCCAAAAATACTGCAAGTTCTGTACAATGCAAAATTTAGTTTTGGTTCCCCAGCTATATAAATGATATTAATTTTGGAAATGCATAAATTTAAAAAAAAAAAAAAAAGAAAGAAATAGCAAACTATGGTAATCAATATTGCTGAGTTTTACTGTATTTATAATGATAAAATTGTGTAACAAAACTTATTGTTCATAGGTCATTAAAAAATAACTATGCATAAAGTACAACACCATATTATGAACAGTTGTTTCTGTCTTGTATGTTTTTGTCTTTGTGAAATATAACCATGTATTTATGTTATTTAATGATGTAAATGAAATTTTATTTGAAAGCAAAGTAAAAACATCAGGAATAAGACATAAATGAGTTTCAGCTATTATTATGATTGCATCATTCAGGGTAACTATAAACCATTCAAGTGAGTATAAATATATATACTTATATCTTTATATATATTTATTTCAGGTTCTGTACTGGAATGATACCGAGAAGACGGACAGCAGCATATTTGAGCTAACAGAAAGAGAAATCAATACAGACATCAAAGAAGGGAATTTATTTTTCAAAGGTATGTTTAAAAAAAATTTTAATATAATTTAAATTAAACATTGAGCTGATTTAGAAAAAATATTGGTTTCTACTTAACAATGAAAATTCCTATTTTAGACACAGGAGCAAAATTGGATCACAGTTATAGCACATTTTGAAGCAGACTATAAGGTATGCCTTACAGAGTTACCTTCAAAATGTTATTAAATTTTATTGGAGTTATTCCTCTTTGGTAACATTAGTGGTGTAATTTTATCTATATATGGATCTAATTTACATATTAATTAGCAAACAACCAATGAAAATCTATTTATTTATAACTAAGTTACACACATACAAATAATATTTTTGTGCTTTAGAATTAAAAAACTCTTTTTTAATTTTTAGGTGGAATAGCTAGGTAAAGTGGAATAATTCTTTAGGACTAAATTATTTTGCACTTTTTGCAAAATATTCGTATCTCAGTACAACGAGTTTCTTTTTTTCAATGTTTAGATATGTTCCCGACATTTTGTTGATGGCAGTCCAACACCTGAAAACCCATATCCCACGTTATTTGCTTACAATAATTACAAGGAGCCTCTACAGAACAGAAGCTCAACATCCATCACCAAACGTTCAGCGGCAGAGAAGCGTAACGAGGTGTGTATGAATAATTAATATAATACACATAAAAATGCCCCCCTCCTGATATTTATTTTTGAAATTATACTTGATAGGCTAGTTTGTTTCAAGCCCTGTAATAAGAGTATTGTAGTTAAATGCATTTTTTTAATTTATTCACTATGACCTTGCACCATGTGTGCCTGCACGCTTTCAACATCAGCCAGCCGAGTCCTACCAGTCAACTTATGTATATATTCACCATGTTATTCTGTTCTATGTGTTGTATATACTTTATTCTCTTTAGAGAAGTGGACAGGCTTTTGCCTACATCCATGGATGTAGGCG